CTGTGGTGAGGAATTACAGAGAAAGGTTAACGACACAGAGCTGTGATGAGGAGTTACAGAGAAAGGTTAACGACACTGAGCTGTGGTGAGGAATTACAGAGACAGGTTAACGACACCGAGCTGTGGTGAGGAATTACAGAGAAAGGTTAACGACACTGAGCTGTGGTGAGGAATTACATAGAAAGGTTAACGACACAGAGCTGTGGTGAGGAATTACATAGAAAGGTTAACGACACAGAGCTGTGGTGAGGAACTACATAGAAAGGTTAACGACACTGAGCTGTGGTGAGGAGTTACAGAGACAGGTTAACGACACAGAGCTGTGGTGAGGAATTACAGAGACAGGTTAACAACACTGAGCTGTGTTGAGGAATTACAGAGAAAGGTTAATGACACAGAGCTGTGGTGAGGAGTTACAGAGACAGGTTAACGACACTGAGCTGTGGTGAGGAATTACAGAGACAGGATAACAACACTGAGCTGTGTTGAGGAATTACAGAGCAAGGTTAATGACACAGAGCTGTGGTGAGGAGTTACTGAGACAGGTTAACGACACAGAGCTGTGGTGAGGAGTTACAGAGACAGGTTAACGACACAGAGTTGTGGTGAGGAGTTACCGAGACAGGTTAACGACACTGAGCTGTGGGGAGGAATTACAGAGAAAGGTTAACGACACAGAGCTGTGGTGAGGAGTTACCGAGACAGGCTAACGACACTGAGCTGTGGTGAGGAATTACATAGAGAGGTTAACGACACCGAGCTGTGGTGAGGAATTACAAAGAAAGGTTAACGACACCGAGCTGTGGTGAGGAATAACAGAGAAACAAACTTTAACCTGCTACCTTGTTTAGTTTACAATTACATTGACCGGTGAGGAATTACAGAGAAAGGTTAACGACACTGAGCTGTGGTGAGGAGTTACAGAGAAATGTTAACGACACCGAGCTGTGGTGAGGAATAACAGAGAAACAAACTTTAACCTGCTACCTTGTTTAGTTTACAATTACATTGACCGGTGAGGAATTACAGAGAAAGGTTAACGACACTGAGCTGTGGTGAGGAGTTACAGAGACAGGTTAACGACACAGAGCTGTGGTGAGGAGTTACAGAGACAGGTTAACGACACCGAGCTGTGGTGAGGAATAACAGAGAAACAAACTTTAACCTGCTACCTTGTTTAGTTTACAATTACATTGACCATTGAATCAGATCTTATATTTGAAGCCATTTTAATTGTAAGACATGCACAGCTTATTTTCAAGTCTGGCTTACTTATGAAGCCTTTTAAATGGTTCAGGCCATAGTTGCATACTGTTACCTGAACTGGTCTTACATGTGGTCAGACTTACATTATAATGGACATCAGCATTCTCTGGCTCATACATTAGGGCAGTCTTGTACTGCTCCAGAGCATCTGGTAGTCTGAAACAAAATCAAAATGGAGATTATGATCTGTCATGATGTCAGTTTTAGATAAAAACTACATGTACTAGAATACATATGATAAAGGTATTAACAATAAAACAGGAGAGAACAAGGGAAGTATCAAGCACTCTTTCTTGCATTCCTCTGTTTCTTTGCAGCATATTTACCCCAGTCCATCTGAGGCTGATATTTCATATCAAACAATAGTGCTAATTAAGGTGAATTTTGTTGAGCTGGGATGACAGCAATAACAAGCATGTGCAAGTCAGCAATATGAACTTTATTTTTAGACGAAGATGATAATCCTCACCTGGCCATTTTGACCATGATGTCACCTCGGTTGATGTAGCCTTGGACGTAGTCAGGCCTCATGGAAACAGCCGTCCTCAGCAGCTGTAACACAACAGGGAACTTGAGACACAGCAATATCAAATAACTAGGAATTCAAAAATATACTTCTGTAACAAAACAGTGGACATTCCAAGTAATATGTCAACATGAATGAACAGCATAAATGAAGGGAGGAAAACGTGTCAGGGAATCTTAAGTCATGGAGGCCATCTTGGATTAATAGAATCCATCCCTGACGTGAGGTATGGATAAGGTAATTCAAACCCGAGGGATAAAATATTGAGCAGGAGACCAGAGGCTTTGCCGAGGGTCTTCTGCTCAATATTTTTTCCCCCCGAGGGTTTGAATTACCTAATCCATATCTCATATCAGGGATGGATTCTTTTTCTTGCTTATTACCTAAAACCCGTAAAACAGCTGCTCTCCTAGTAAAATTGTAAACTGTCCACACATTTCTCATTTGCATATGAAGCCCGGATGGTAATTGTTAATGATGTAAATGACACTGACTGACCCCAAAACGTCATAAAATGACGTCACGAACAATAGCGTGACCCCGAAAGGTCACTATAATTCCCCCACCAGTCTGCGCGTGTAAGCGATCCAGACCCGTGGGTTGGACAGAATTTTCCAGCACCGCCGGAAATGCGGATACCTCGGTCTAGTATGCAAGAATACCTGATCTGGGAGGTATGTCGTTATTTATTTTGTAAACCAATCAACACAAAGCATCCACAACATCATACCAATAGAACACATATTAGTATATCTATGCATACTTGCCAACTCTCCCTATTTTGGAGGGAGACTCCCGATTTTGGACCCTAAAATTGAGCATTTTCAACCAGTGAATTTGCTAAACTATTCCTATATTCTTAGAACTAATGATTTCATCTGAAAGAACAGCTCAAAAGATGTCATTTATAAGTGTTATTTTTTACCTAGGGTGTACATACACACATTTTATTTATGCTTTTAATTCTGAACACGCGTAATCACCCCCATGGAAATTTCAACAAGGTTACCGCGAGCGGTATATAATACGCCCGCCACACATTGAATGAGCAGTTGTTTGTATGATTTAAATATATGAAGTATTTGTGAGTAATTGATATTAAAAGAGAAATCATTCAACATAACTGGTAGATCAATGAGTGCAATACAACATCATGGAACGCATGCATCGCATTAATGAAACCAAGGGGAATAACTCCAATAATTACGGTCAGATAATGGCGGTTATCGAACTTGTCCGAGGTTTCATGGTAATTAACCTTGTTGTGAAGTTTGAAGTTAATC